TCTTTTTGAGACAGGGTCTCTCTATAGCCCCAGCTGTCCTGGAACTCACTATGTAGACCAGGCTGGCCTCAAACTCACAAAAATCTACCTGCCTCTGCCTCCTGAGTGCTGGGATTAAAGGCGTGCACCACCACGCCTGGCTCCTACTCACTCTTTTAAAAAATTCTTAATTTTATGTATATGAGTGTATTGTCTGTATGCATGTAAGTGCAACCATTTGTGCAATTCCCATGGAGGTCAGAAGAGGGTATCAGATTCCCCTGGAACTGCAGTTTTAGATGGCTGTTAGCCACCATGTGGGTGTTGGGAACCAAATCCTGGTCCTCTGTAACAGAAGCCAGTGCTCTTAACCACTGAGCCATTTCTCCAGCCCCCTTACTCAATGTTCCTGCAGCACCTACAATGCATGATGTATCATCAAAACACTGATAAAAGCCTTCCACTGCTCTTGAAAGAAGTGGAAACCACTTTGCATGTGGTGTCCAATCCACCAAAGCATTATAGCCACTGGCAAGGAATGACCACAGCCCTTGCTTCTGGGAGACGTTCATTTTGGAGGAGCAAGAAGGAACTTTTGCACTTCTTATGTTCAGAATCTACTTAGTCTCCTTATGTGATCACAAGTGACTATCTCTGGAACCACAGAATCTGTCCATTTCAGGGCTCCTGCTGTGACTCACAAATCTTTTCCCTCCAGTATTGGCAAAAGGCAGAGCTAAGATAGTTTCATGTGAAATGCCACAATAAACACAGGACTTTATAATCCAAAAGCCCTACACAGGTTTTTTTAAAAAGCTGCAGCATATGCTCATACAAACCTTTAATGAAGACATCTCATGGCTCCTTGAACTGCTCAAAGACTTGGTAAATGGTCTCCTTTGGTTTTCAGCATTTTGTTGTATTGATATGATATCCACCTTTTCAACAGCAGAATAAGGAGGTGATTCTTGGAACTTAAATAATTTAAAGAGGGGAAGTTACCAGTCTTATAACACAGCCATCTCCAAAGTCTCCCCTACTGGCAAGTTCCCCATGTATTCACCAATGATTTGGCCTTAAAAATTTCAAAGCATTTATTATTTATTTTGAGAAAAGGTCTCACATATCCCAGGCTGGCTTCAAACTGGCTATGTAGACAAGGATGACCTTGAATTTCTGATCTTCCTACCTACACCTCCCAAGTGCTGGGATTACAGGTACGTGTCACCAAAGCCTGGTTTACTGAGTGCTCGGGAACTGAATCCAGACCAGGGCTTCATGATGCCAGGCAAGCACTCTACCAACTGAACTACATCACAAGCTCAGCATTGCATTTTTAAAAAAAGACTATGACAAGCAAGGTCTGGTGGTGCAGGCTTGTTACCCCAGCTACTTGGGAGGCTGAGGCAGAAAAATCATACTTTTTAAGGCCTGCTTGTGTTACAGAGACTCTGCCAAAAGTGAATGGCCATCTAAGAAGCTTACAGAGAGGGTATCTGCGGAAGACGTTTTAAGAAAGAAGGTACTGGGGCTGGAGAGATTGCTCAGGGATTACGAGCACTGGCTGCTCTTGCAAAGGACCCAGGTTCAGTTCCCAGCACCCACATGGTGGCTAAGGACCATCCATGATTCCAGTTCCAGGGGATCTGATGCCGTCTTCTGGCTTCCACAGGCACTGCATGCATGTGGTGCTCTTAGAGACTACAGGCAAAACACTCACATACATAAACACACACATATACATATACATATATACATATACATATAAAGAAAGGCGGTATCAAGGGCTAGGGATGTAACTCAGTGGTATACGAGCATCTGGGTTCATTCTCTAGCAGTGCAGAGAAAAAAAGTCAACCAAGAAAATATAGAAAATGAGGGAAAAAAATACTGTTCATTAAAGGAATCAAATACCCTTTTCCTTTAATTCTCAAAATGACCTGCTGATTCCTCTGTTTTCCAATGCACTGATATGTGACAGCCAGCATTAAGCATTTTGCCCTTGCCACTCTTCTTTATCTGTTCTTTCCATTTCTTCTGTGGTTTTGGTTTGTTTGTTTGTCTTTTGTTTTTTGGGTTTTGTTTGTTTTTGAGACAAGGTCTCCCTGTAGCCCCAGCTGGCCTGAAACTCACTATGTGGACCAGGTTGACCTCAATCTCTCAGAGACTGGCCTGCCTTTGCCTCCTGAGTGCTGGGATTAAAGGCGTGCACCACGACCTATGGCCTCTTCTGTGCTTCTTGCAACTGTTAATCATTCTAAACAGAAATCAAGCTTCCCAGAGCCTGTTTCCCAAGTAGTACATGACTTACTGCAAAGAGCTCGCTGCGCTGGTTCTTTCCCCCACCTTGCTCAGACTGTTCTCTTTTTTTCTGCCTTCGCTGTCGAGACATGGAAGGTTCAGATGTAGAGCTGTGCGGCTGTAAACCTGGGTGGATGCTGTCCTGTTTTTCTATAATACATTCACCAGTAACTTCATCCTTAAAAATAACAAAATGAAAGAAATACACACAGAAAATCCCCAGAGCATCTACAACAGTCTCTAGAACTTCAAATGTCTAGAACTTCAAAGGCCCCCACATCTACTTTTAAAATTGCAAAATGGAAATGGGAAGGAAGTATTCTTCTCAAAATGAATGCTTATTGCTGGGCATGGTGAACACCTTTAATCCCAGAACTTGGGAGGCAGAGGCAGGTGATCTCTGATAGGGAGGCTAGCATGGTCTACAGAACTACAGAAAAAAAAAATTAAGTAAAAGTAAAAAGACAACCTACAGAATGGGAGACTATATGAGACTTTTATCTCATAAGGGCCTGGAATCTAGAATGAAGAATTCTTCCAATTTGACAATTAAAAAAAATACACACACACACACATACACACACACACACACACACACACCCCAATTAAAAACTGGCAATGAATCTGGAACACACAGACTATTTCTCCAAAGGAAGTACACGAATGACCAATAAGAATACAAAGATTCTCAACTGTCACTAGGGAGGGACAAACCACATTAAGACCGTATTATACACCCATCAGGATGACAGCTATAGTCACAATGATGGACAACAGGGCTGGGTATGTAGTGCAGTGGCAGAGCACTTGCTTAGCATGTGTGAGGGCCTGTGTTTGATCACCAGCATGGGGAAAAAAAAAAAAAAAAAGATGGACAATAAAGTATTGGTAAAAATTGTAGAGAAAGTAGAACCTTCATATATTACTGCCAGGAAGCAAATGACCATAGTTGCTTTGGAAAATAGCTTTATTACCCCTTTAAAAAGTTAAATATAGGGCCAATGAGATGGCATAGTGAGTAAAAGCTTTGCCATGAATGCCTGATGACCTGAATTCAATTCCTGGAATCCAAGTAAAGGTAGAAGGAGCAAACCAACTCTGCAAAGTTGTCCTCTGGTATCCATGGGTTTCATAGTGCACACACACTCACATACACATCACACATAGTAATAATACATAAAAATTTAAAGTTAGCCGGGCGTGGTGGCGCACGCCTTTAATCCCCCTCTGTGAGTTCAAGGCCAGCCTGGTCTACATAGTGAGTTCCAGGACAGCTGGGGCTACAGAGAGACCTTGTCTCAAAAAGATCAAAAAACAAACAAACAAACCATACACACATTCATAGCAGGGCTAGAGATTTAACTCATTGGTAGAGCACTTGCCTAGCATGCTCAGGGCCCAGGAGTCAATCCCCAACACCATACACACACACACACACACACACACACACACACACACACACACACACACACATCAAAGCATTATCCTTAGAAACATACAGGGAAATTTATTTGACAATAAAAAGATACTGAGGCTGGAAAGATGGCTCAGTGGTTAAGAGAGCTTACTGCTCTTGCAGAGGACCCAAGTTCAGCTCAGAAAGTGACTTACAACTCCATGTAACTCCAATTCCCAGGGATCAGATGCCCTCTTTTGACCTCTATGGGCTCCTACATACATATGGTGCAAATACATACTCTTGGCCAAACACATACATACATATTTTTTAAAAGAATGTCGAGCCAGGTGTGGTTGTGCACTCCTTTAATCCTAGAACTAGGGAGGCAGAGGCAGGCAGATCTCTGTGAAATCAAGGCCAGCCTGGTCTACATAGCGAGTTCCAGGCCAGCTGTGGCTATAGGGAAACCCTGTCTCAAAAAAAAGAAAAAAAACTAACATGCTACACCATGGAAAACATTAAACATTATATGAAGTAAAGAAACCAGACACAAAATGCCATATATCATATGACTCCAGTTATGCTCAGAATAGGCAAATCCATAGGGACAAATGCTGCCAGGCTTGGGAGTGAGGGAGAATGGAGAGTGACTGTTACTGAGTAAGGTTTTGTTCATTTGTTTGTTTTGCTAGATAATGAAAATACTCTTCCACCTTAAACTGGCGCAGCAAATTACTGACTTTCCTAACATAGCTAGAGTATACCCACACCTCTGCAACCACAATTTCCAGTTCTCTCTCTGAAACCCACCCTTGTATATAACACTCACCTGGTCCTCTGGCTTTTGGTCTATGTTTGGGGGCATCATCAGTTCATTCCGTTCCCCGTCTCTATCATCAGAACAACATCTGGGAAGCAGGTTTTGAGGCTGAGCACTGGACTTGGTACTATCCTGTAGCCTCTCCTCTGTCTCGTGAGAAATGTTGCACTGGCTGTCTGTCTTGTTAGAAGCAGACATGTGTCTTGGTTGATTCTCCTGAACTAAGTCTTCATTCTCTGAGTCCCTCCTTTCTGCAGGTAAGATGTCAATGTTTACCCTACTGATCGTGGCTAGTGACTCTGTAGTACTGCTCACGTCTGGTTTGCCAGTGTGGTCTTTCAGATTAGCAGGTAATTTCAAGGGACAAATGGCCACTGGTTTCTCTTGAAACAAACATTTGTTTTCACCCTGGGTGAAAAGATGTTTCCAAGTTACTACAGCACTTCATATTATTTACAAAAATTAACTCAAAATGGAATAGCAGGTTCCTCAAAAAGCTAAGCACAAAGCCAGGCGTGGTGGCGCACACCTTTAATCCCAGTACTTGGGAGGCAGAGGCAGGCAGATCTCTGTGAGTTCAAGGCCAGCCTGGTCTACATAGCGAATTCCAGGACAGCTGGGGCTACAGGGAGACCCTGTCTCAAAAAACCCAAAAAAGAGAGAGAGAGAGAGACAGAAATCAACACACAAAATTAGTTGCCTTTCTATACACTGAACAATTGGAAATTACAAAATAATCATATTTATAATTACATCAAAAATGTTAGGCGTGGTTGTGCATGCCTTTAGTTCCAGTACTCAGGAGGTAGAAGCAGGTGGATCTCTATGAGACTGAGGCCAGTCAGTCTACACAGTGAGTTCCAGGCCAGCTGGGGCTTTAGGGAGACCCTGTCTCAAACAGACAAAATACAAAACAAAACAAAAAACCTAGGAGTTAACTAACGAAGTAAGATACTGTGAACCAGAGACTGAAAAACATTATTAAAAGAAAGTAACGAAGACATAAATAATGCCCTCTGCTCAGGGATTAAAAGATTTAAATTTTTTAATGTGTATGAGTGTATTGCCTGAATGTGTATAAGTGCACCCGAGTCGTGCAGTGCCTGTGGAGGTCAGAAAAAGGCATCAGATCCCCTGGAATTGGAGTTACAGATAGTTGTTAGCCATCATGTGGGTGCTGGGAATCGAATCTGGGTCCTATGCAAGAGCAACCAGTGTTCTTAACCACTGAGCCATCTTTCCAGCCCCAAGATTTAATGTTTTAACAATACCTAGAACAATAGATTATACCTATAGATTCAGTAGAATCTCTATTGAAATTCAGTGACATTTTAACTGAAAGAGAAGACCACAACCTACAATTGATAAACAAAACAATCTCGAAGAACAAAGCCAGAGGAAGACTCACAGTTCCTAATTTCAGAACTCTATATAAAGCTAAATAATCAAACCAAAGTGGTACTGAAATTAAGACAGACACATTGACCAATGGAACAGAATAGAAATCCCAGAATTAAACCCTACATACATGATCAAATGATTATTGACAGGGAGAATGACCATTTGTGTCAGTCCATTTTCTTTACTATAACTGAATACCACAGCCTGGGTAATTTATTGCACATAAAAGCTTATTCATTTCATAGTTCAGAGGATGTACAGTCCCAGATAAAGGACCACAGTTGGCCATGGCCTTATTGCTGATGGAGAATCTTTGAAGTGTCCCAAGTTTTCATAGAGACTCACATAGTAAAAGGAACATACCCAAGAGACAGCCAAGCTGGCTTTTATGACAAGCCCAGTCTCAGAAGAAACCATTAAACCGTAAGTTGCCTCTTAAAGGGCTAGCCTTGCCTCATGACCTGGTCTCACCTCCTAATACTGCACATGAATTTTGGTGGAGACATTCAAGAACTAGCAATATTCACTGGAGGGAAGGATGGGTTTTTTTCAAAAAATTGTGCCAAGGGCTGGAGAGATGGTTCAGTGGTTAAGAGCACTGGCTGCTCTTGCAGAGGAACTGGGTTCAATTCCCAGGACCCACATGGAAGCTAACAACTCCAGTTCCAGGGGATATGATACCCTCTTCTGGCCTCCATGGGCACTGCACACTTACATACATTCAGGCAAAAGCCTCATACACATAAAAAATAAAATAAAATTTTAAAAATTGTGCCAAGAAAATTGTGTTTCTACACACAAATAAGTTAAGTTCTGCCTTACCTAACACCACATATAAAAAATTAACTCAAGCTAGGCATGTTGGCACATGCCTTTAATCCCAGCACTTGGGAGGCAGAGGAGGTGGATCTCTATGAGTCTGAAGCCAGCCTGGTCTACATAGCGAGTTCCAGGCCAACTGGGGCTACAAGGAGACCGTGTCTCAAAAAGACAAAAAAAAAAGAAAAACCTCAAAATGGATTAAAAACTTAAATGTAAGAGTCAAAACCATAAAACTCTTTGAAGGAAACAGGGCAAAAGCTTCATGAATTTGGCACTGATTTCTTAGACATGACACCAAAGGCCGAGGGTAACAAGAGAAAAAATGTACAAGTTAGACTTTGTGAAAAAAAAATTGCGTATCAAAAGAGTAAAAAGATAAACCATACAACGGGAGGAAACTCATAAATCATGACTCTGATAAGGACTGATGGCCAGAATAGAGAGGACTCCTAAAGTCAACAACAAAAACAGACAACCCTAAGCAAAATAGGCAAGGAATCTGCACAGACATTTCTCCCAAAAGGGTGTGAGCATGAACAAGACCCATACAAACTTAGGCAGACAAAAACCCTGCACAGAACTGTGGAAATAAATAGCAAGCCCCAATCTTAATCAAAGAATGATTGGCAGCTGATTACTGCTGGGTGAGAAAGAGCTGATCTTCTTGAAGAGAGAGACTCTAGATAGGCTGACTAAACCCCAGTAGATGAACTTGCACTGAGGGACATCTTGGGACACTAACTTTACATAATAGACCTTAACACAAATGACAGAATGTATGAACTCCAGTGTGGGAGGGGAGGGCTAGGGGAGGGTGCCAAAGGGGAAGGAGGAAGGGAGTATAAAGATGATTTTATGTATGAAATACACAAAAATCCAATTAAAAATTTTATGTATATATATAAAAGTTTTATATACAAAAACAAGAAAAGGAAAGAAAAACATACTAAATGAAAGAAGCCAGACATAAAAGGCCACATATTATATGATTGCATTTATATGAAAATACTCAGGACAGGTAAACGCAGAGAAAACACATCCATGGTTAGCAGGTGGAGGGGGAAACAGGGCATGCCTGTTCAATGTGTGAAGGGTTTCCTTTGAACTGATGAAAATATTTTGGAACTCAGTAAGAAGTGAAAGTTGCACACTGCGAATGTGCTGAGTGCACATGACTATCCACATTGAAAAGCTTATGTAGGGCTGGATGCTTATGTGGTTCAGTGGTCAAGAATGCTTGTAGCACCAGGTGTGGTGGTGCACGCCTATAGTCCCAGCACTTGGGAGGCAGAGGCAAGCAGATTTCTGTGAGTTCGAGGCCAGCCTGGTCTACATAGTGAGTTCCAGGTCAGCTGGGGCTACAGGGAGACCCTCTGTTTCAAAAAGACCA